ATATAAATTTCGGCTGAAAGCAGTATGATCAATGGCAGTTTTATATTATTTGATTCCAAGTCATTATCAGCTATTAAGCTATTCTGAAACTAAGAAATGATGCAATCGGAAGGGGTGATTTTTCCACTGACAAAATTAAGAAAATATAATAGTGGGAACCAAGACAGCATTCCAGATTACCTTCGGTAAAATATCTAATTTACTCTGACCGGTTGGAAAGAGGGACCGTGTCATGGATAAAATAGATAATCATATACAGGCGATTCTTGTCAATAAGCATCAGTGAGCAAAATTTGAATTTCAGGCACGAATAAATAGGACTACTGTAATCTCGACGAGGAAATATTTTTTTAAACTAACTAAGCCTTATGTCAATTACCAATTAACATTCAAATAGTATAAAAGCCTAATTGGGCTTGCAGGACTGTTGGTGTCCGTAAATGTCAGAATATTGCGGATAACTGCTGAATTAAAAGAGTAAACAAGCAAGTAGTGCAAATTTAAAGCATTAAATGAAAGTAGGTATCTGGCTCAAGTATTATAAGTCTTCAGAATAGTTTACATGATTATATGTCTCCATCGGGCCAGAGATTTAAGTCGAAAAAAGCAAACTATCAATTGGATCCGTATCAGAGATGAAGATCATACATTATCAAATGAGCTAATCTTCATTCAATCGGTAACCATCCCTAAAAATACGAACTAGTTTCCTGTATCTAAAAAAGCAATGCATTCAGCTAATAAGATACTCATAAATATAAAATGCATTATAACATTCTGAAATTTTATGCCTGCAAAACAAAATTAAAGAAATCAAATATCAGATAAAATTGCTCGTAGTCTACAATTTTTGGATAATTCTGGAGTATTTATGGTCTCAGATAGTATTTCACAAAAGTACAAGCCAGAATCTTATCGCATCTTGAATATTTGGGTCCAATTTGAAAAATAATAGATATGAAAACTAATATGATCTTCTGTTAGCATTCTCCTCAAACTTTATAGGGTTATTTGATCTCGGTTTCACAATTAGTCAGGACATCAGGGAGACCTTGTGGAACGTATATAATCATGTGTCCTCTGCCATAAAATTGGTGATTTACAGCATCGAACCAATGATTTGGTACATTCCTAGACGTATCGCCGGAATCGTCAGCACAGAGCTACAACTTATCAAAGCGATAGGTGAAGACAATCCTCTTGACCAATTTTCTGTTCAACCGTTGTGGTATAACTCCTTGCTCCTATTTTTCGTCTTCTAGTGGCGCATCTCTTTCTTTCAACCTCACTTCATTTGGCCGATGTACCCATTCACACAATTCGTTTCCGCAAATGTCGCCTATGAGTGTGTCGCTACAAGTTGACTTAGTGAGGCATAATCATCTTTACCATCAGTTCCAGATGCCGTTTACAGGGCTTCGAACTTTTATTCATACCCCCTTCCACCCCGCTTGCCAATTGGTCGCTGTCACACGTTAAACTCACTGCCTGGCTGCCTATGACTATTCAATTTCCGTCCCCATTTATGTCATATTCGAGGATTTAAAGCCGGTGATGCCCATGCCTAGGCATAGTCCTCTCCTTCGGCTTTAGACCCATCACCCAGTCATTCTTTCTCATCTCTTCTCATATCGCATCTCATTCTTTGGGCCCCTGTTTTTGGATTGATTCGGGATCATTGCTGTGAAGATGGACGGCTTCCTTTTTCCACTCCTGAATCCCGTAAAGCGCACTCCTCTTGTGTCTCAAGTTGACTGTCCCATCTAATTGTATTGTACTAGTCAGTTGGTTGGTATCTCCCTTTTTGATTAAGCATGTCATCAGTCACCTCTCTTTAGGGCGCATGGGAATAATAAAACCAGGCACACGCACGCGTACTGGGCACCTATCTCTGTCACACCTATACTTATAGCCTAATGGAGCATAATCTGCCTTTTACTAGCCCTTACTTTCATATCCCACATCCCAAAGGTGGAGCCGCACCGGTAAATTTTTACACGGATTCCGGATTTAAATCACCTAATTGCAATGGTCATTTTTTGACTTCGTTTTGTTCCTTATGATTCTCTCCTTGAATAGTTGTCATTGGTCCAAGCGTATTCTTTTGCCGGACCCACTGATTCTCCAAGTCTATCCAGGTATTAGGCGAAATTATCGCTGACTTTTCCCCCCTCCAATCTCCTGTTCATCAGGTTTCTTTGAAAATATTTCCACGACCTGCTTTATCTACCATTTTCTGGCCAGTCTTTCATTCGAAGTAGTCATCCAAATATCGCATAATTACTGTTGGCTGGTGAAGTAACGTTTTTGAATTCTCCTTTAAAGTGCTCATATAGACAGCCAACAAATTCGAGAGTGGTAAATCTATAGCCAGATTTCAGACAGCCAGGCAGTGAGTTTAATGTGTGACAGCGACCAATTGGCAAGCGGGGTGAAAGGGGGTTCGAATAAAAGTCCGAAGCCCTGTAAACGGCATCTGGAACCGGTGGTGAAGATGATTATGCCTCACTAAGTCAACCTATAGCGACATACGAATAGGCGACATATGCGGAAAAGAGAGCACAGAATTGTGTGAATGGATACATCAGCCATATGAAGTGAGGCTGAAAGAAAGAGATGCACCACTAGAAGATAAAAAATAGGGGCGAGGAGTAATGCCAAAATGGTTAAACAGAAAATTGGTCGAGAGGATTGTCTTAACTTGTCACTTTAATAAACTGTAACTCTTTACTAACGATGGCACCTCTCATTAGCGATGCTGGCGAAACGTTAGGGTTCAAAAAGCTTATTGTTAACCTGGGGCATTTACAAGAATTAGTTTAAGCTCTGATGATTTCCATCAGACGATTGATGAAGACTCAGCCCGTTCCCATTCAAAACGAGAGAGATCTCGTATAAAAGCCAAACAGCTGCAGTACAACGGAATTCAGTTGTCCGCTTCTGGTGTGATAGACCTCCTAATCTCTACTTAATGCATATTTATTCGAAATGAAAGGCTCCCCGACAGAAATTGAATAATAAATAGATACCTCGAGTTTGTTACATGTGTCTAAAAAAGCTTTAGTATTTAGATAAAAATAGCCCTTGGAATACTTTATTGACCTAAAAGCAAGACAGTTTATTAAGGAAACGTAAGGCTCGGACATATGGTTAAACACAACTTAGGTTTCCTATAAAATTAGACTGCAGCGGTTTTTGTGGCAAATTCATAAAGAAACTAAGGTGTTGAAATACAATCATTGTTGATCAAGATGATTAAGTTAGTATAAAAGTGCGAGACATCAGGTGTCTGTGCGATACCAAAATTAGGCTCAAAATCACTGAGCTGTGGGGCTGTTTAGCATATACATTTACATAGAACAGAAGGGCAAATGAATGCACATATTCGCATGAATAATAAAGTCAATGCATAGAGAAAAACCTGTTTTCTTGTTCTTCTTAGCCAGCTAATAAAGGCGAAATGAGGGCTGAAGATAGTGTATAATCAGGAGCCGATGGTAATGGGCTAAGTATTCGGCCATGACTGCGTAATTAGTCCCATTAGTAATATTATGATAAAGCGAAAGCGAGCATCAAGAGGTATATGAAAGAAATGTTTCTCAAAAACGAAAAATCAAATAAAATATTTACTCCATATAACAAATAAGTATGTAAATAAAAATACAGAAAAGAGGAAATAAGTTTAGGAATACTTGTTAATTCATTTTAACAGCCAAAGACTCTCACTAAAAGAGAATTAATGACCACTATCTTAGAGGAATATGAATTCATGAACAAAATTAGTTTATTTACTGATTCATCAACAGCATCTATCGTCCTTCTAAACATAGTGCCAAATCTATGACTTCGTATGCCCTAGTCTCTTGTATCTTAATGAAAACGAGTAAACAAGAGACTAGGGCATAGTAAGTCTCAGAGTCAGTATTATGGATAGAAGCACAATAGATGCGGCGGAGACTAGAGCTAGTTGGCTAACAGTAGACGTGTTTGATTATATATGTGGTCCATGAAGCATAGGCTTTACCTTGAAAATTACTCGGGCCCTTTAGCCTCAAGATAGTCTCCCATAAAGCTTGAGAATCCTGATTTTTATGGACCTACCCAGCGAGGCGGAAGTATGCTTGGCATCAAAGGCTAGAGACAGTGTGGGAAATAATGTTTAGAGTAGTACAGATATGGTGGCAGTGGTCGAGTGAAATAACTGAATCACGAAGGTAGGAGGCAGATCCTAGAAAAAAAGAGGGATATTCTGATAAGACCTAAGGGAAGAGGATTACGGAATGAGGGGGTGAGAAAGCCAGCGTGTGGTTCAAAGAGTTCATGTGACAACCGCCAGGCCACATTTAAATAAGAAATTGTGATATTGAAGAGGTGATGCGAGGATATAGGATTTCTGAATAGCCCAGGGCAGAAGGAGAGATACCATTGTTTAGCAAACAATTGGTCAAAGGATAGGCTTGACTTGTCTCTTTGACGTGTTGTACTGTGGTGCTATGAATAGCAAAGCTCACTGGCGATGCCGGCGAAACGTCTGGAAATGTACCAAGTCCACGGTCCGACTGTAAATTATCATGCATACTATGGACTTCGGACTAGGTGCGTTCCTCTAGGTCTTCTTATCAATATGACAAAGTTGCTAAAAAAGGTCAAACAACTTCTATACACCTGAAGGAGACTGTGATCATACAAAAGGCCACACTATCTTGGTCTTCATACCTTCGATTGAAACAATATTTTATTCGTCTTTGCTAATCTGGAAATTGCAATGCAATGCCACACTAGGTAATTATGATTTTATAGAAGTATTTTTATCAAATGAATAAAATCGAAGAGACAAACTGAGGGCTAACCTGTGGGAAGCTCTCTTCTTTATCTAGTGCGTGATCTTTGGCAAATTTGTCGGCTACACGTACTTTATTTCGAGACCCCCACTCAGACCTCCAATATTGCACTAGCTCAGAGGGCTTAACTCCTCCTCGGAACCAGGTCACGCCCTCAACGTCCTCAGGATGTACATCAATTTTAGGATTTAAATCGGCTTTAAATTCAGTTGTCTTCTCTACCTTCGAAGAGTTAATTGCGCAAGTAGTACCAGATTTATATGTTGATCCGGACACAAACACGCCTGAAGGTGGCTCAAGTGGAGTGGCAGTATCCAGAATTACTGTCCTTTTGCTCGAATGACAGCATGAATATTTGGGCTTCGGAACTGGGTTTTTTGTTTGATCTCGATTAGGTCGGTCCGAGCAGCAAGTGGCTACTAAGCAGACAAAGCTAAGTAATGTATGAGAGTGGACCAAGGGACGATCGCCACTTGCTTGGTAGTCAAGGAACTGGTGCATCTGAAAATTAAGAATGGCTCATTATATAATAATAAATATATATAAATATATGGATACGGTTTAAGTAAAATCCAGATGAATAAGAAAATAGGATGAAAATTGTGGTGATAATATTAGTGATGACAATTCATATGCAAATTAGGAGGGAAGATGGAGCTAAATAAAATGTTCGAAATGCATGTAACAAGTAAATAAAAAGAAATGATATATTGATAAAGCCATATAGCCCTTTACCCCAACTATTATTAGAGCATACTTCTTATTATTTTTCAAGTCATAAATTTTTATTTTTCTTTATCAACTAATGCCTAGCTCACAAGAATGAGATAAACAGTTTCCAGCATACCAAGTTAACTAATGCAATATGAGTGAATTAGCTTCTAGCCTTACAATATTTCAAATACTTTATTTTTCTCAGCCATAAA